AAAGTGACACGTCGATTAGTGAATTGTCCGTCTTCGGTTTTCGAGAGGGCGCCGTGCCGTTATTTTCCAGGCTTGCGCCCGCCACGTTTGGGCCCGAGGTCGTTTTCACTAAACCCCGTTTTCCCAAAGGGAGGTCTGTCCATCCCCGAGAAGGCCATCTCTTGAGCCTCTGAGGAGGCCCACTCCCCCCCCCTCTTGGGTGCGCCGCCGACTTTTAGCATTCGGGTCATAACTCGGGCCGCCGGGGGCCGCTCGGGGCGATCCTGGCACCCCTCCTCCTCCCCCTCCTCCCCCTCTCCTCCTCCTCCTCCTCCTCCTCCTCCTCCTCCTCCTCCTCCTCCTCCTCCTCCTCCTCCTCCTCCTCCCCCTCCTCCTCCTCCTCCTCCTCCTCCTCCTCCTCCTCCTCCCCCTCCTGCGGCGGCGGCGGCCCCTCGGCGGCGAGGCGCAGGTGCTGGCTGGGTAGTCGAAGGCCAGACTGTCAGATTGGATTGGGCTCCGCGGCCCAATCTGGCCTGGCCAAACTGGAGGATTTGGGTTATTCGCCAGACTGGATTCGCGTTGGCTCCCTCGCCAGATTGCCCCCGTTTGCCAGATTGGGCCTGCCAGATTGGCGCCAGATTGGCTTCGACTACCCAGGCTGGAAAGCACCCCGAGGCTGGAAAGCTTCTGGCAACAGGCGAACGCGTCAGAAAGCGTCGAACTTACAGGCGGCCTGCATTAGCAGGTCGACCCCGCCAGCTCAAGGGTACCCCTGTGTCCCGTGCCTCGCGACGCGTGCCTTCTTACACTCCCAGGGCGCTGTGGCCCTCGGAAGGGTCCTGTGTCCTCTCGCGTGTCCTGTCCAATCAAGGCCGACTGTACCCACCGGTCGTTGAAAGTAGGTATTTTTGGATTCCCAGATTCCAATCTACTTTCAGCGCCTTCCTACTTCAAGAGTCGAGTGGTTTTCCCTCTTCCTTCCTCTCTTCAGGAGGCGGGCGGAAACCCAATCCATTTCCAACGCCTTCCTACTTTTTGTTTCTACCTACACCTTACGCGATGCTTAAGAAAACCTAAGTTTTTGTCCAGAGTCTCGATGTTTCTTAACTTTTCCATGTAAATCCCAAGATTGTCATAGAAGTTCTGGGTTTTGTTCAGTTTCTGAGACTGTGAATTTCTTAACCCATGATTTCTTAAGTATTTCGCAGGGTGTACTTCTTCCGACCGATGGGTACTCCCTTCTGCTCTCCCGCCCGGGCGCGCCGAGTGCGTCCTCGGCGGCCGGCCCTCCCTGGTCCTGCCTTCTCCTGGCCTGCGGCGTCGGCCTCTCCCTCCTCCTCCTCCTCCTCCTCCTCCTCCTCCTCCTCCTCCTCCTCCTCCTCCTCCTCCTCCTCCTCCTCCTCCCTCCGAGGCCGCTCCCCGTGCGCCTGCCGGCCCCGCCTCCATGCTGGCCTTCCCGGACCGCGCGCATCGTGCACCCCACCCTCCACACCTGGGAGCGGGAGGAGGAGGAGGAGAAGAAGGCGAATACGAATCATAGTAAGAGGAAAAAGGCGAATACTGATGGTACTAATGGTAATACTGATAATGATAATGATAATGATGATAATAATAATACTAGTAATAACAATACTAATAATAATCATAATAATAGTAGTAGTAGTAATAATAATAATACTGAAAATAATCATAATAATAATAATCATAATAATAATAAGAATCATAATAATAACAGTACGATCAATACTAATAATGATAACAATGATAGGAAGAATAATAAGAATAATAAGGAACACAATAAGAAAACGCAGAAGAAGAGGAGGAGGAGGAGGAGGAGGTGCGTTAAGGAGCCTGGCCCTGACACGCGATGTTGGGCCCTGGGGGAGGGGACCCCCGGCAAGCGCCGGTCGACCCGCCGCCGCCGCCGCACCGACCGACGTCGGCGATGCATCGGCGATGCACCGGCGATGCACCGGCGATGCATCGTCGACGTGGGCGACGCATCGGCGACGTCGGCGTGGAAAACAAACATTGAGCCCCACCGCGAGCCGCATCGGCGATGCCTCGGCGCTGCGGCGCCAAATGTCTCACACGCCGCGTCACCCCCGGCGAGCGGGGTTCGGCGGACTCCTGGGCGGTCACCCCGCCGTCTTCACAGGCGTTCCACGGCACGGTTTGCGACGGTGGCCCTCCAGGCAACAGAGGCAATACACCTTAGGCGATGGTTAAGAAAACCCAAGTTTTCGGCCAGAGTCTCGATTATTCTTAATGTTTCCATGTACATCCTAAGATTTCGATGGAAATGCTGGGCTTCTACTCAAGTTCTGAGACTATGAATTTCTTAACCCATGATTTCTTAAGCATTTCGCAGGGTGTACTGGCAGCAGACGTGCAGTCCACCAGCAGGGCACAGAGCCCACACATTGGGGCCCCGACTCGTAGGGGACAGGCTCTGGTGGCCCCAGGGCTATCGTCCCGCGTGCAGCCACCATGGGAGATCGCGGATGACTTTCCCCACCTAGTGCAATTCTTGACGCTTTGCGAGAGCCTCTTGCAGCCTACAGGGTTTTTGATTTGAGAGCCTCTTGGATGCCTCTTGGGCGCCTCTTGGGGCCGTCTGGGCACCTCGTGGAGCCCTCTTGGGGCGCTCTTGGGAACTTGAGGGGCGCTTTGGGGGCCATCTTGGAGGACATCGATCAAAAAAGATGGGAGCTTCAATGAGCCTCCCCCCTCGGAAGCCCCAAACATCGCCTCTTGGGGCGCTTTTGGAGTGCTCTTGGGCGCTCTTGGGGCCGTCTTGGGCCTCTCTTGAGCTTCTCTTAGGGCCCTCTTCGGCCACCTTGGAGCCGTCTTGAGACCTCGGATGGCCATCGGAAACGAAAAGGCGAGAAAGCAAGCATCATTGATTTTCTTGGTTTTGTAAGGATTTGGGCTTCTTCGGGGCTTCATTGGGGAGCTCTTTGGCCACTTGGAGCCGTCACGGAGCGTTCTTGGGGCCTCCAGGAGCATCTTTGGAGCCATCTTGAGGCATCTTGGGCTATCTTGAGCCATCTTGGAGGTCATCCTGGGCTCTCCGAGGCCCTCTTGGAGCCGTCTTGGGCCATCTTAGACGCTCCAACCCCCTCACCACCACCCCCGTCTAGGTCCAGGGGAAGGGGTAGGGAGACGGGTCAAGTTAGCCAGCTCGAACGAACCAGAGGGCTCCGTCCACTCCCACCCGCCCCCCCACAAAAAAAGAAGCAAGTGCGTCGCGTCCGACGCCTGTCGCTCATCTTATATCGTGGGCGGGTAGACGTTCAGCGCGCGACATGAGCTGCGTCCTATTCCTGCCGCGTATTGAGTAACGTCGACGAGAAACAAGGACGCGCGCGATGTACGCCGCGCCCCGCTCCGGCCTGTCATGTTGCACCGTCGGCGTCAACATGTCAAGCGCGCGAAGTGCGCCGCGTCTCATTCCAGCCACGCGCGTTGCACCGCCAATCTTATCGCTCCTGCCGCGCATGGAGGAGGGGGAGGACGAGGAGGAGGAGGAGGGGAGGGAGAGAGGTCTCTCCTACGTGGACACGACAACGGGCGCGCCGGCGGCGAACCGCACTTGCTTCAAGCATTATGACGTGCCGCCCGCCCAGCTCCTCAACCCGACGGGCCGCAGCGTCGACGACAAGAAAGTCCACGTTGACGAGCACGCGTCCCCGCGCGATGTGCGCCGCGTCCCATTCCCGCTACGCGATTCGCGGCGCCGACGAGGAGAAAGTACATGTTGGCAAGAAAAACGTCGACGTTGCGGTGTTTGTTGCCAGGTAGGACGGGGGGTCCCGCGTAGGGTTGGCCAGGCGTCCGCGCGCGATGTGCGCCGCGTCCCGTTCCTGCTACAGTTTTCGCAGCGTCGACGACGAGACAGTCCACGTTGTCGGGACGCGACCACCCACTTAGGCCACCCAAGCGACGTTCATTCCGTCCCATTCCTGCTGCATTTTTCGAAGCTCGACGACATGTTGGCGAGGAAAAAATTGAGTTTCAGCTGTTCTTTGACAGTTCGGACGGCGGGGTTGCTTTCGGCCGGCTAGGGGGGGTCGGGGGTGTTTAATCATAAGAAGTAAGGGTCAAGACTCCCTCCCCGCCCGCAAGCCGTTTCGCTCACTCCCGCCCGCCCTTCCAACACATGCGTCGCACCCGAGTCTGGCCCGAACCTCAGCATATTCAGCTGTCGTCTTTGGATGGAGCTGCCGGGTGCGAATCCGCCGCCGCCGCCGCCGCCGCCCGCCGCCCCCGCTGCCAAATCGCCGCCGCCGTTTCCGCCGCCGCCGCCGCGCCGCCGCCGCCGCCGCCGCCGCCGTTCCAGCCGCCGCCGCCGCCGCCAAGTGTATTCTGTATTGTTGTTTGACCGGGATGGTGGGGGGACGCCGCATCGGTTTGGCTGCGCATGCTCCGAATTTGGAAGCAGAGTGTGTTTTGCATGTCTGTTTTTTTGCGACGGGTTGGTGGGGGGGGGGCCCTCATGGTTCTTGGTTGGCTACCAGTCCCCTGGGGGAGTAAGTGTTTACTAATAGGGAACAGTGATCAAGGCACCCTCCAGATAGCAAGCCGTCAAGCTCACCCCCACCAGCCCTCCCAGCACACAGGTAACACCCGAGCCTCAGCATGTTCCGCGGCCGTTTTTCTGATGGACAACTATTGGGAACCAAAACCGAACCCATGTGTGCGACGTTGGGGCGAGGCACGCCACGCGTGCCGTTGGTGCCACGCGCGCCAGGCACCCCTGGGGCCCGAGCGTGTTAGGCACGCCTGGTGCGCCTGATGCTCCCTCCAGCCACGTGTGGGGCACATGCAGAGTGTGTCAGGTGCGCCTGCGCACGTGACAGCACACATCGGGGAACATGTCGGGCCCCACCATCCCTGTCGAAATCCATTGCCCATCAGTTTGTCTGGTGGGCCTGCGCACAGCAGGCCATACGCCACCACCCCCGCCGTCCCTGACAAAAACCACTTGGCAATGATCGCGGGGTGGCCGCGCACTATCC